TTGGGCGTGAAAACGGTTGGGGTGGTTTCGGTAGGATGGAATGTCACTTATACAGCTCTATTGTTGTGGAGATCTCCTAGGTGTATGCGTGACGACGCATTAGATGATTGATATGCATTGATATCTGTCATGAGATGCATTTATTGCATGATTATTAATATGATGAAGTGTGGTGTTTGACTTCATGATTGGTGGATTGTATTTTATGCATGAGTAGTATTGGATAGAGTGTATGGTGTGACTCTATGAATACGATTGTGTAATATAGATTATTATGATTCATTTGTGAATTCTAGCTTACCCTTCTGTTTCCATGTGGTGGAACTGCGATGATCATACTTGGTATGGGAGCAGGTCAGGGCTAGCTTGGAGTCGAGGTGACCGCTGCGAGACGGGGAGTTTGATCCTCGTGTTAGGGTTACCATTTTGGGTAGCGATTTTTGTCTGTTTGACCGGCACTAGGGAATATTATTTTTGGGATGACTGTACATATATGGCATTTTATTTTGTATTTAAAGAATTTGGTTATTTTTATTCTTATCTATACCTGTATATATGAGTTATCCAATTTAATATTTTCCTTAGTTCACTAGTAGTAGTGCGATTCCACTAAGTGTAGAGACCATGGCGGGTCGTTACATAAGAAATATCTGTAAATTATTTTTTGCAGGAAAATTGGCAAAAAATTTCTGTGAATATTTTTTCGTAGGAAAATTCGTAAAAAATTTCTGCGAATATTTTTTTGCAGGAAATTTTGCAAAAACTTTCTATGAATATTTTTTTGCAAGAAAATTTGCAAAAAAAATGACACTTTTCTAGTAGTGTATTTACCACCTCACTTGGTCTAAAATAATCTAATGGAAATACATTTGGATAATGAACACTTCTTCTTAAGAAGTATTCATTAGAGATTGGTATTTTGCGGATTCATTAAGATTATTCTAGTAATAATTATTATAGAAGAAGATATCAATCAGCTATTCGAAATGGTTTTAGCTATAAAATACGGCTTGTGTTATTTTCTAGCCTCAAGCCCTACTAAGAAGTTGAAAATTTATTTTTATAAATAAAAGACAGGAAGAGAATAGAGAAAAATATGAAATGAGATAAATTATGTAATAAAGAAAGATGAAGAAAAAAATTGTGGGAAGTGTTGCAAGAGCATCAATACACTAGTTATTTTATGTTTAAGCAATTATATCTTATTTGTTTTTTTAATGAACTCGACTTACGTAACATAAAGAGTATTAAGTTTAAATTTCATATTTTATAAAAGATAAGATAACTTATGAACAAAAAATCATTTTTACACTATCCAAAAAAATAAAAGACGGTAAAAAACTAGCAATTAGTAATATCTTGAAAAGGATTTAGTAAGAATTGTTTAAAATATTGCTTAAAGTGCATGATTAAGCCATTTGTACGGCGGACATTCTATGAATAATATATCTCTTATCTTAGGATAATGTACAATGAGGTATATAAAGGATTTTATTCTTCTAATGTGAGATAATGGTATTTTAAAAAATCAAGTATAATAATAATTATTAATTAAAAATTAATGATTAATATTATAATTAATTTTAAATTTATTTTACAAAAAAATGATTTTATCATAAATTTTAATCTTTAATTTTATAATTAATAATTATAATTGTACTTTATTCTCTAAAATACATTATTTTACTTTAGAAGACTCAAATCCTTATAAAAATATAATGATAAGAGAAATTCTTGAAAATAAGATGTAATACGTAATAAATAAGTTATAAATCTTATTGGGGCATTCATTTGCAAGAATTTTTAAATTTGTATATCTTCTGTTAATACGGGTATATTGTTTCGGTCGATACCATACAATTTGCAGCAAATAAGGTTAATTAGTTTATAAGCATTTTAAATCGTGATCGCGCTACTGATAGTAATAATAATAATTAATTAAAAAATCAGTATATAGAGGTATAAAACCACGAATCCACGATTGTTGAAAATCTTTGCTGACATTCACACCACTCAGAAAATCCTATTGTACTTTAACCTAGATGATGAGAAGAATGATGATGTGTGGCTGCGCCATTTTTTTATTTATTTTTAGAATGTGCTTTTAGTGGTTGACCATAGTCCATAGGATAGATTTTGTTAAAATAGATTATAATTAGTTGATGAATCCCTTCAATCTCCCATGGTAAGATTAGTAGCTTAATATTCATTGATACTTTTGAAAGTGTGACCCTTACCAAATACCAAGAATATATATATATATATA